AAATAGAGCTACCCTATGATCCAGCAATTGCACTACTGGGTATTTACCCCAAAGATACAAATGTAGGGATCCAAAAGGATACATGCACCCCAATGTTTATAGCAGCGATATCCACAATAGCCAAACTATGGAAAAAGCCAAGATGTCCATCGACAGATGAATGGATAAAGAAGATGTGGTATATATACACAATGGAATATTATGGAGCCATCAAAAGGAATGAAATCTTGCCATTTGCAACGACGTGGATGGAACTAGAGGGTATTATGCTGAACGAAATAAGTCAATCAGAGAAAGACATGTATCATATGACCTCACTGATATGAGGAATTTTTTTAAATTTTCTATTGTTATGTTAATCACCATACATTACATCATTAGTTCTTGATGTAGTGTTCCGTGATTCATTGTTTGTGCATAACACCCAGTGCTCCACGCAGAACGTGCCCTCTTTAATACCCATCACCAGACTAACCCATCCCCCCACCCCCTCCCCTCTAGAACCCTCAGTTTGTTTTTCAGAGTCCATCGTCTCTCATGGTTCGTCTCCCCCTCAAACTTACTCCCCTTCATTCTTCCCTGATATGAGGAATTCTTAATCTCAGGAAACAAACGGAGGGTTGCTGGAGTGGTGGGGGGTGGGAGGGATGGGGTGGCTGGGTGATAGACATTGGGGAGGGTATGTGCTATGGTGAGCACTGTGAATTGTTTAAGACTGTTGAATCACAGACCTGTACCTCTGAAACAAATAATACATTATATGTTTAAAAAAGAGAGAGAGAGAGAGAGAGAGAGAGAAGATAGTAGGAAGGGAAAAATGAAGGGGGGGAAATTGGAGGGGGAGACGAACCATGAGAGACTGTGGACTCTGAGAAACAAACTGAGGGTTCTAGAGGGGAGCGGGGTGGGGGGATGGGTTAGCCTGGTGATGGGTATTAAAGCGGGCACAATCTGCATAGAGCACTGGGTGTTATACGCAAACAATGGATCATGGAACACTACATCAAAAACTAATGATGTAATGTATGGTGATTAACATAATAAAATTTAAAAAAATGTGTCTTGCTCACCTTTGGTTTCAGGGGTGTCTGTGTGTGGGAGTTCTAGATAGTTCTGCCAAATGCCACAGTGAGGGTTTGAAAATCATGGCTTATAGGATCTCATGTTAAGCCACAATGATGTTCAAGATTATATTCCATGGCTAAAATTTTTTAAAAAACACAAGAAACAATGAGTGTTGGTGAGGATGTGGAGAAAAAGGAACGCTCATGCACTGTTGGTGGGAATGCAAACTGGTGCAGCCACTCCAATATGGAGGTTCCTCAAAACATTGAAGATAAAATTACCATATACTCCAGTAATTCCACTACTAGCTATATACCCAAAGAAAACAAAAACACTAATTCAAAAAGATATATGCACCCCTATGTTTACAGCAGCATTATTTACAAGAGCCAAGATACAGAAGCAACCCAAGTGTCCATCCATAGATGAATGGATGAAGATGTGGTGTGTGTCTACAATGGAATACTACTCAGCCATAAAAAAGGATGAGATCTTGCCATTTGAGCGAACATATATGGACCTAGAAATCCATTTCACTTAAGTCAGAGAAAGACAAATACCATGATTTCACTCATATGTGGAATCTTAAACAAATGAATAAAGAAACCACACACACACAAAAAAAGCACAGAGAGACCCATAAATGCAGAGAACACCTGGTGGTTGCCAGAGAGGAACACAGGGAAATGGATAAAATGGGAGAAGTGGAGGGGGAGACACAGGTTTCCAGTTAAGGACTGAATAATTCATTGGGATGAAAGGCACAGCACAAGGAATACAGTCAAATACAAGTGTAATAGCGTCATATGGGGAAAGATGGAAGCTACCCTTGGGGTGAGCACAGCGTTAGGTGAGCATAACATATAGAAAAGTTGAGTCACTATGGTGTAACACTCTGTGTCAACTATACTCAAATCTTTTTTAAAAAAACATTATATCCTGAAAGAAGCAGAGATTTCCCAAATTCAATCCTCAGGGACCACTCCCCTTAAGACTTGAGAAGGGATAGTGTGAGTGGGTTGGAGAAACAAAGGAAGCCAAGAGAAAGAAAACGCATCTAACCATCTGTTGACAGTGAAATGGGTATTTCCAGGGCATTAAAATGCGTCTATCATCATGCCAAATTTGTCCATCCTGGCCTTTCAGACATTTGGGTCATTATTCATCCTCAGCAAAACTCAGCATGGTGCAGAATAACCCCAAGAACTCACATCTCTGACAGGCAGGTGACCTTTGTGCATTTCCCACTTACTGGACTGACCTTGCTTTTTAACCTTTGTCTTCTGTGGGGCTCCCCGCCACCCTTTTTCCAAGGCACTGGTTTTAAGCAGCCTGCACACAAATTCTGATTCATTATTAAGAATTGTTTTTCGGCCAGTGGCTTGCCGAGACATTGCTCCCAAGGGCACTCTAAGAGCTGATTTTGCACTGGGCTCGAAGCCAGATGCTTATAACGAGATACTAAAGCCTGAGTCTTTTCTCCATGATGTCTTTGAGAACTAAGATCATTTTGGGTGAAATTCAAGACTCAGGTGGGCAGGTCCCCACCTTAGCCAATTGTTGGCTATGGGAGAGACAGAGAAATGGGGAGCTGTTGTTCAACGGGCATGAAGTCTGGGTTCTGCAAGATTATGTTTCAGAGATATTTCGTGCCTATAGTTAGCTACATTGTAATGTGCACTGAACGTTTTGTTGAGGGTAGATTCCATATCATGTGTTCTTTACCGCTACAACAAAAGTTTATCTCAGTTTGTAACTTCACAGGGTTCGTAAGATGGTTTCTTGCAGGAACCTTTGGAAGGCATCTTGCCTGTTAAAATAGACCCTCGGATGGGCTGACTGAGCGGAGTTTAAGTAGATCATAGTTTCCTGCCTAAAGCAAAGCATCAAATCCCAAATTCTCCCATGAATACAGTCACCATAGGTCTTCAGCGTTTTGAGTTTTATCTGGCATCCAATGTTCGCGTCAGAAGGAACACAGAGAATCGGGTTCTTAGTTTCTTTAACCCAGTCTTGTTAGTTTTATTATGGAAACATCACATGGTTCATTGGAGTGAGCAGGAACCAGATGGTGCTTAAATCTGGGCTCTGAGATGTATGAACCGTGAGATCTCAAATCAGTAACTTGAGTCTTTCTCAGGCTCCATTCTGCTACCTTTAAACTGGACAGGTACCCTACCCCTGGCAGTATTTTTAAGTATTAGATGATAATGGAATTGCCGGACCATGATAGCTCCATCTTTAGTTTCTTGAGGAAACTCCAGTTTTCCACAGTGACTGCGCCAGTTTGCATTCCCACCAACAGTGTATGAGGGTTCCAATTTCTCAACATCCTCTCCAACGCTTGTCACCTCTCCTTGTTTTCGATGACAGCCAGTCTAACAAGGGTGACATGAAGTCCCACTGGGGTTTCAATTTGTCTTTCAAAGAAATCCCTGCACTCCCATGTTCACTGTAGCACTACTCACAACAGCCACGATACGGAAACAATGAATGAGTGGATAAAAAAGATTTGTTACTACATATAAATCTTTTCCTTAATGTTTTGGGGACAAGGTTATCGGATCCTTTTAACAAAAATGCAAAATGACCATGGCTTCCAGGGGTGTGAGAGACCTGCATGAACAGAATCTGTGGTTTAAAAAAAAGGAAAAAGAAAAAACCCTATGAGGGCATCCAAAAAAAGTCAAGGACACATTCCCTGGATCATCTTTATCAGTCCTTTCAAGAACCCTCTGGTTTTCCCCCAAAATGTATATGCACGTGCGCACACACACACACACACACACACATCACTCCCTCTCCCAAACCAGAATCTCACCACCTAAGCACCTACTCTACAGAAATTCTGGAGCTGTCCCTACCCGGAAGGTTTGAAACCAGACCCGAAGTTGCTCTGCCTGTCCCTGAAAGATTCCCTCTTGCAAGGGATTTCCAGGAGGAGAGGTGGATGAGCTTGGTCACCAGGTAAACAGGCTCCTGTAGGACCACATCTCGCTATCGGGCTGTAGCAAGCACTGTCAGTGTTATCGATTAGACAGGTTGACCTGAGTGATAAAGGCAGGATATTTTTAGGAAGCAGCAGGTGACTTGGAAAGCTGGGTGTCAAGCTATTTAAGTAAAGAGAATGTGCCATCAAATAACTTATTTATTGATAATGATGAGGACGGCACATTTTTTTTAAAGATTTTTTTTTTAATTTATTTATTTGACAGAGAGATAGAAAGCACAAGTAGACAGAGCAGCAGGCAGAGGGAAAGGGAGAAGCAGGCTTCCTGTGGAGCAGGGAGCCCGATGCGGGGCTCGATCCCAGCACCCTGGGATCATGACCTGAGCCTAAGGCAGCCGCTTAACCGACTGAGCCACCCAGGCGCCCAGAGGACGGCACATTTTTAACAAATTGCAAAGGCGTTGTGCAAAGTCACCCTCAGGCACTGGATTAAAATCTGGCAAAGCGGGGCCTGAGCAAGAAATCCGGCCCCTGAACTGTAGTTTTGTTTTAATAAAACTTTATTGGAATACAGCCTGTTCATTTACATATTGTCTAGGGAAGCTTTTGTGGTCTTGACAGACACTGTGTATCCTGCAACGCTGAAATATTTACCATCTGGCCCTTTGCAGAAAAAGATACAATAATGCTGTATCACATACTTGAAACTTGCTACGAAGAAAGAATTTAAAAATTCTCATCACAAGAAAAATAAGTTCACAACTATGTGTGGTGATGGATATTAACTACACTTATGGTGGTGATCATTTTGTAATATGTACAGATATCAAATCATTATGTTGTTCACCTGAAACTAATAAAACACCATATGTCAATTATACCTCAATTAAAAAAGCTAAAAATTAAGAGACACTGCTGACCCCTCAACTAGACTGAATGAAGACAAGCTTGTCCCGAAACCGAAGAAGCAGACCAGAATCAGATGTCTTAAAAGATACAAAGTTTTATTAAACAAACCTGGAATGAATAGTATTATTACATAAATTAGGCAGCAGTAAAATCTTCCTAGGGTATATATACAAATCACAGTGATTTTCATTGTGCAAGAATTGAAAGAATTAACAACAATTTTTTTTTCCACATGAGAAGCTGGGACGACCCCACAGGGATCCCAGTGCTGGCTCGCCGGGGCGCACCGCACCTGCAAAGGCACTCCGTCTCGTGTCTGCCACATCCCACGGCTGTCCCGGGGCCACCCGGCCAGGCTGCCCGTAGCACAGCACAAGGAAGAAGGACGCTAAGACCGTTCTGCAGAGCTGAAGAACCATCTCAGAGGACAAGATGCCCTGAGTGTCAAAAGGCTTGAAATCCCATCTGCTAACACACACACATAATGACTTTTACTTTAAATTAACAGAGGTGTCCACCAGGGAAGAGCCAGTGAAAGCACAACAGAATGCGTTACAGCACAATAACTTATAGGAAACGGTGACAGAGCATTTCCCTTTTACTACGAAGGACTGTTAAGCCCACGGGGTCTGCAAAGCAAACTTGATAGGTAAATGTGACACTTGGCAAAACACCACTCCCGAACTCCACCACCACCAAGACACAAACGCGGTCATGCACACACACACCAAACTACCCAAATACATTACTAACACAACAGTTCATGTGCTTGTCTTCTTGTTTTTGGTAAGTGGACATCGTCCACTGAAGGTGAAGTAAAGAGAAGGCCTTCTCACCTCCATAAGAAACAGGGACACGCGGTACAGGTACACAGGACTTGTCTAACGCAAATAAAACCCATACTCTCAGTGGATGGACCTCAGGAAAAATAAGAACTCATGCATCACATTCTCAAGCTCCACCACAGGAGCCCTTAGGGGCTTCTGTGAACATACTCATTTGGGGATGTAAAAATCAATTGGGGCTGGGGGGAATCCAACCAAGTATTTTTCCTGCACTGCAATAACCAAGTGGCTAGAATGAGAATTTTGATGTGGTCCTAGGATTTGATGCAGCCTGAAGCACTCCCCAGGGGTGGGCAGCGCTCAGTGCCTAGAGAGTGGGGGCACTGGGGTCTTTCCTTGATAGCGTATTTTCACAGTTCCAGTGGTCCAAAATCTAGAGGCAGCTTAGGTCATACACAGAAATGGCAAATGCATCCCATGTCACGTGACTGTCTAGTGGTACTGGTGATTCTGTCGTTGGTAACAAGGGAGTCCTTAGGTAGAGAGCACAGAACGAAACAGAACACTGGACCAGATGCTCACGGACGGGTGGGTGCGCAGGGCTGGGAAGAGGAGTGTGAAAGCATCACGAGGACTTGAGCTGGGCACTCGCATCTTGTCGTCGGGCTCTCTCTCGACATATCGTCACGTCAACAGTAGACATCGCGATGTGCCCAGCATCAAAGCGGGTACGTTTGTGCCAGGCAGGGTTCTAATGTATGTTCTGCAAGAACTGGAAGTTGGCTAATGCAAATGCAATTTAATTTCCTTCTTAGCTTTGAAGATATGTGTTCAAGGGGGTGGGTGATAATTCCTTTAGAAAAACACCACCCGCCCCAACATACTTCTCTGCAAAACATGCGTTTCCTGAGGATCTTTTTAAAATGGTACTTGTTTTTAAGAAAATATTGCCAACTCATAAAATTGCATAGAACAAAAGGAGTCTATCGTTTTTTTTTTCTGATGCGAATTTTGCGAATATTTCCATGACGTTGCTTCTCATGACTTTTGCACGTAGATATCTGATCAGATACCTGAAAATTTCAGAGTGCCCCCCACCGAGTAAACTATTTTTCAGTTATATACAGTGAGTGTCCCATGTGTTTGGGACTCATTTTGATTAAGTCAGTCTTTGCATTACGTCACTCTGCTTAATTTCAGTCCAGCCACGGGCCGTTAACACATGGCGTGTGCCACCTCAAATATTGAAATGGCAAGACTGAGTTTAACACCATCTGGTATTCTTGGAATTCCTTTTAGTTTTTAATTTGTTTTGCATGGCTGATGGCCGATGACAATGTTTTTAAAGAACCATGTGATCTGTGCATTCCAACGTTGGCATTTGTGAGTGTGTGTGTGCATATCTGTCCAAAATTAAGGCATTGCATTTCATGCTTTCTTGAGGCTGTTTTTCACGTTCTATATTAAATCTGGGACAGTGAGAACTAAACCCGAAAATATGCATATGGGTCAATGTGTCTACATACAATGCTTTATCATGTTCAAGAAAGGTGTTTCATTTATTTTTATTTTCTTAAGCACAAGGCTCCAAAATAATAGTAATCTATTTTTATAAGTCAGAGGATGTGAGATCTTTGCTTTCCCTCATGGGTTTATATCTCAGGGCACCATCACTTTGCTGATTTAGCCTTGTAACAGTCAATGATGAAACAGTTAAGAAATTTCAGGCTGAACATGTTGCCCGTTCTGGTCCCCTACTGAATGCAAACAGCACAGGGATTGCTCGGTACAGACTAAAAACACCATTCTGTTGGAACATCCATCCATACAGCACGCCCTTTAAAAATAATTTTTCTTCGAGTTACTCATTATAAAGAGTTTATTTTACTAAATCTTGTAGTCACTCTGACCTTACTCATTGGATTTGTATTTGAAGAGCAGGTCATGCACAAGAAAGGGGGAAACGTGGCTTCGACTTCAGTGTCTTTTAAAGCTTGGGTGGGTGCACACGTTCTTCATTCCACCTTCCAGCACATCTGTGTGCTTTGGACTTGTGAGTGGGATCTGGCCAAATCTGGTAGGCAACTGCATGGCCTTTGACATTTTGCTGCTTAAAGAGATGTATGACTTTGCCATGTGGCGGCTCTCCATGTCCACAGACATGCTTGCAGAAGAGAAGTACAAAGGGCTACATGGAAAGAAAAGGTCTTCCCAGGCACAGCACTGGAAAATAATGTCTATGATGGCCAAGAATCCACAAGGTGACTCAAGAACATGTAAGCTGGAGAAGCCCTGATAGGGTGCCCAGGCTTGCCTCTTCCCCGCACCCATCTCACCATCACACCGCCCAGGGCAAGCACTGCTCCCATCCCCACTGCCCAAGGAGCTGGACTTTTCAGGGCCAACCCTGGGAAGAAAGGAAGGGTACAGAAGGGGTCTTGCAGGTCTGTGTGGGTGTCCCTCTGCGGTCACCAAAGGCTCTGGCACCTACTAGTTAAGCGCACAGATGTCCCTGCAGAAGGTCACAGTTGAGCCCTACGACCAGACACAATGCAGACATGAGCAGCTCTGTTTGTCCAGCTGAGTCACAGTCAGCAGAGAATGGCCAACCCCTTGAGATTTGTACAGCAAACTTCAGAATGAGGAAGAGAAGCACAAGACAAAGCAATAGATCACGGAGAGCATGGACCCCTAGGACCTCTTTACACGCCCCATTTTCTGGGAGGATCCACAACTAGCCAACACACTCACTGGAGCCCACTCCACATCCGCCTTGCATTATGTCAATCCCAAGGGGAAAGCATTTGCAGGGTGCTCTTCATGGTATCTTCACGATCAGGTCCAGAGAGGAAGACAAAATCTCAGCCACCGATAAGCACGCCCTACCTACGAGACAAGAGTGTGCTGGACACACCCACAACTGAACATTTACGAGGATAGAAACAAGAAAGGTTAATTTCTACTATGCTGAAGACTGACATCCTATAGCTCATTTGCGTCTTATTTTTCCCACAATGGAAGTTAAAAAAAGAAAGTTAAAAAAAAAAAACACGTTTGCATGAAGGTCATCCATGCAACTGAGCCAACAGTCACTTGTTAACTCTGCATTTTGTTGGATACAGAGCTCAACTGCAATTTTAATAGGTAGCCACCTGCCTCCACCCCCCCACCCATGGAGTATGAAATTTCTGGATGTGATGCAGGGAATTTCTGGACTGTGTTCCATTCCTTGAACAACGTTAATGGCCACTGGTATTCTCAGACTCAAATTCAAACTGATACACCCTTCTCTTCCCTTCTGGTTTCAAGACCTAAAGTCACCAGACATGAAGCACTAAAGACACGGGATGTGGACCATCACATGATGTTTTCTTCACAAGCTACAAAATGCACATCAGTCGATAAAAAATGCACACATCATATTTGTCTTAGCTTTTGTCCCCAAGAAAAACAGATTCTTGAAAGAGCAATTTGGAAGATAAAAATCATAGGCTCTGCCAAGTATGAAGATTTACATCACGGTACAATTCCTGTGCACCAGACATATGGTCTTTTTATACACACACACGTGCGCGCGTGCGCGCGCCCACACACACACACACCATCTGTGGTTATAACCAAACACGTTCAGTTCAAACTTATAAAGTTAAGTCTATGAGGAAAACCAAGATATCACAGTAGGTTCATCACACTAAGAGATAAGATAAAATCTACAACCAAACAATTTTCCAAAAGGTCCTACTGTGCAGTAGATTTCCAGTTGCTTATTGATGCTTAATTTCCAGTTGCTTAAATAATGCCAGGTCCATGACTTTGTACGGATATCCAATCTCTTTATATACATCCAGACTTATAGAATATGGAAATGTCCTTATTCTGTGGACACAACCCTTCTTCAGGGTTGATATGCCACTCTGATGTGCAGGTTCAAATCATCCTGTTTGCAACACGAAATAAAGAATTTTGTTAGTTTTTAGAATAACTGGGTAAGTTTTGTAATAATCATACTAATAATTCAAAAATTACTCAATAATACACACATGAAAACCAACTTTCCATTGAAATTCCTCTTGCAAAGACCCACAAGCATGAATTCTAAGGGGTGGGAAATGCTTAATAAAATAATTAAGCAGTGAGATGCCGGGTTGGCTCAGTCGGTTCCCAAGGATACACACCGCCTTGAAAAAGCTATTCCTACCTGCAGAATCTGCTAAAAAGGTAGCTGGGGCAGCTGGGGGCACAACTCCTAACCGTGAATAGAAAACCATCCACTAAGTACGCAACAAACCCCATCGGACGGCAGATTTGTGTTTCCTTAAGTAAATTTAACGGTATCTCTGTTACAAAAAGGCCCCAGTCCTCTGACTTATCAACGAAGTGTCCTTCACTAGAAAACATACCATGTCTTCCATCATTTAAAGATGACTGGATAAAAATAGCGCATAAAATATTATGGGCAAATCATTCAAAATTGAAGCAAATGAAGAGAACGGAAAATAAAACCCGAATTTAGAAACCCCTTCTATTTTTAAAACTCTTTAACTGGACTTCACTAGGTTTGCAGAAGCTGGAAAAGCTAAAGAGAGTCTTTAAGAAAACCTGAGGAGAACGATCATTATGTGTTGAAAAGACTAAAACCCATCAAGCAGACATGTTCCATTCTCATCCACACAGCCACCTGTTTCTCGTACTGAATTTTTGTTTCCATGTTTTAACTTTTAGGCAGGTTTCCTCTCGTTATCTGCACGGCAATACCAGCCGAGAGTAGAGGTTTCTGGTATACCACGCCTCCCTCCCTTCAAGGGCTCTATAATGGTGTCAATTTGCACATGGTATTGACCAGACAATTATTTCTCCCATTCCTCAAAAGTACTGTTGGGGAGACGGAGGCAAAAAAACAAGAAAAGTCAAGGAGTAGACATATCATCGGCAATATCTTGCGCTTCTCTTCCTGCAATTTTTCTTGCCTGGCTGTCGTGAGAAGAAAAACCTGATTTAAGTGGTGTTATGTCACTGAGCTCCTCACAGAACTGGAGTAACTGAAAGGTCTTTACTACGCACATTCAAAAATCCTTCAAAGTCATCAAGTCATAGATTCCACAAACACAGAGTCATAGACCTTCAAAGGTTCCAAGAAATGAGAGACTCAAAAATCCATTCTTTTAAATGTCAAATGGAGCTTAGCAAATTCCATAGGAGGTGTTCGCTGCTGTCATCAGTTTTTAGTGAAAAGGGGACCTAAAAAAAACCCTTTCGAAAATATTTGGTAGGTATCTATGAAGAAGCTGGTGTGGAACTCAGGGTTTCCAAAACACAAGAAGTCAGGAATTTTTACGAAAGGGGCTGTGTCCCTAGAATGTGTAGGCACACAGGCCTCTCACAGGGGTCTTACTTAAGCCCTAGACTCGCCCCCAGCAGGTGCGTCTGGGGAGTGGGATGTTGGGGGCAGTGCTGTCTCTGGGCCACATTACATGCCTTGAGTAACACACCCCCGGGCACTGATGAAGCTGATGCTAGGAAGGACTCCATCTAGCTCCGCCCCACTGCTCGAGTTCCAGTGGATGAGGGAAGCCCCACTCCAACAACACAACATCCCCTTGAGGTAAGGACACGTCAACCTCACTAATGCGTAATTACTAAAACTAAAGATATACCTTCCAGATGAGGATTCCTGTCCTCAGAAATTCTTGAAGACTTCCAAATCTTTCGGTGACACTGGAGGGGCCGTGTTCCAGTCATTCTCGGGATACGCTTCAAAGTTGGAGGTATCGCCCTCACCGCATAGCTTGGGCACGATGGGGGGCTGCAGGGCCGGGGCAAGACACAAAGGCACAGTCAGAAGGGAATGGTGTGTACCTGGATGGGACGTGCATCATTTTATATCTACGACTTCGCATACAAATGGAGATGATTTGGGGGGAAAAAGCACAAAACAGTGAAGTGGTCCTTCCTTTGTTTATGAACGTGGAAAGCTTTGAATTGGAGATACTGCCAATAAGCTATCCGCCAATGGTGCAGTAAGGGGAATGAAGGGAGGAAGGATGGTAGCCAGCCCTTGCTTCTTAAATTCTAGAGTGGAGAACCACCCAGATTCCTTGTTAATGCAGATTCCAAGGCCTGCCCAGGTCTGAGTGATTCTGCGGTAGCTGGTCCAGTGGCCAGAGTTTGGAAAGTCCCAGAAAGATGTCAAGAAAAAGCTCCAGTGTTAGTATCACCGAAGCCAAGCCTCAGTCCCGCATCGATAAAATGAGGTCACTGGCACTGAAAAGGAGGTCAGCCAAAGGTTCCTGTAGAGGGCCAGCCAGTAAATATTTCTGGTTGTGCAGGCTGTAGAATTGCTGTGCTGACAACTCAGCCTCTGCCCCGGCAGGGCGAAAGCAGCCACAGACAACATGTAAATCAATGCAGGTGGCCGTGTGCTAATAAATTTATAAAATTTATAAAATTTATAAAAACATTTATAAATATATATAAAAATGTATAAAATTTATAAAAAAATATTTATAAAAACAAGCAAGGGGCTTCAGGAGGAAATGGAGCAAGAGAGTAACACACGGTAATGCATAACCTTCTAATACTGATTTGGTTTTTGAACAATGAAAATATGTTGTTTAGTCAATTAAAAAGTAAGTCATTTAATACAATAAAACACTTAAAAGCAGCTCACTGAGACACTGGTGGTCTGGGCCGGACCCTAGTTTCTGGGCTGGGGGCCAGGTATAAGCATTTTTAAAGTCTTTCCATTGACTTTAAAAAGGTCGAAGTTGAGAGTGCCATTAGGAAGACTCATGTCAAAAATACATTTCAATTCTGGGTCGCTTGGGTGGCTTAGTCTGACTGTTGATTTCGGCTGAGGTCATGACCTCAGGGTCATGAGATCAAGTCCCCCAGCAGGTCTCAGTGGGGAGTTGGCTTGAGATTTTTCCTCCCCCCTCTCCCCCTCCCCTGCTCACATACGCATGCTCTCTCTCTCTCCAAATCTTTAAAAAAACATATATATATATATGCAATATATGTATATATATTCAGTTCAAAGAAAGGTGATCTAGAAAATATTCTCCATCTAACCTACCACCATCACTGCACAATATCCGTAAGTGCTGGACAAACACCTGATCTGTGTTACACCATTTACCATTCCCGATTAGAAACTGGTGGGATGGGACTCATCTTGGTCATAGTCCCAGTGAGGGACAGAGCCAGGTCTCAAAAAATCCAACTGTAAAATGTGGGGTCTTAACCCATTACCTCTAGGTGTCTCTGTAGCACTAAGATTTCCACTGTAAAGGGATCTTGGCTTATTAACGATTTGAGATGATCAGCTGTATTACACAAATTAATTACGTATCAGCCATAAATAAACAAGTCAGACTCAGACTCTGCCCCTTGCCGAAGACAGGTAAAGGATGCTGAGCTGACAGTTGCCCGCGTACGTATGTTGTACCTTCAGTTTCCTTTGCGGGACCGCCTCCCAATCCACAGTTCGGAACCACCGGTGTCGCTTCACGTCATCCGCTCCATTCTTCAAAAGAAACAGACATCATCAGTAGACAGAATTTTGACAGGACAGGGAAGAAAATATTCTAGAGAATCTCTACTCAGCATAGAATTAAAAAAATTAAATCAAATTTAAACAATGTGCTATGTTCTGAGTAATGGTCCCTGGACCGTGAGCTAGGAGGGGAAACGTATAAATGAAGGTGTTTGTTCTGTTCACTTTAATTCATAGTAGAAACAAATCCCGTCATTACTACTCTGGACCACACATAAAAGTAAGACTATGGCTCAGGCTCCTGAGATAAAACAAGACAGACACACGGTCATTCCTGAGTCTGCCACCTGTTTTCATCTTGACAGTTTTCTTTGGTATTTAGCATACTCATCATACAGACCTGGAAACCAAGGTTCACTAAATGGTGTAACTGGCTAATTATTGTGATGCTAGTAAATCACACAACTAGGACTCAAACCCATGATGTCCAACTTCAGAGATCTGAACAGCTACCCAGCAGAACCCTCCAATTATAGTACCAGTGTGTTCATGTAATAGTAACGGTGTGTTAAGGTCTGTCTGCTTCCTTCTCGAGGGTGATGCCAACAGCCAACTTGCAGATGCCAATGGCATCATGGTCTTTGAAAATCCCTCCCAGGTGTTCAGCCTTTGACCCTACCCTTTTTCTCCGTTTTAATGGCCCTTGGAGCAACTTTTTTAATCTATTAATGTTGGGAGTTGTTAAGATAGAAAACACATGAATTCTGCGACACAGGAAGAAGCCAATGGATCCGAATATAACAAAGTTTGTGAAATGTCACCTGGAACCTGTGCAGAAGAACTTATTTGGAAATAGGGTCTTTGCAGATACGATTAAGCGAAGGATCTTAGAAGAGCTTATCCTGGATCCGGGTGGCCCTAAATCCAAGGACAGGTGTCCTTGTAAGAGACAGAAGAGGAGACACAGAGGAGAAGCCATGTGAAGATGGAGGCAGAGATGGGAGGGATGCAGCCACAAACCCAGGGATGCCTGGAGCCCCAGAAGCTGGAAGAGGAAGAAGGACCCTTCCCCGGAGCCTCTGGAGGGAGCATGGCCCTGCCCCGCCTGGATCTTAGACTCTGGTCCTTTGTTATAGCAGCCACAGGACACAAATATACCCAAATCAACAGAGGGTCCTGAGAGCTTGGTGGGAACGAAACCTCACACACAGGTCTACTGTGTCTCCCAAGACTACAGCAGACAAGACCAACGCACTGCCCATGTTTAAGTTCCTCCATGGATGTCCAGAACTGGAAATAGCTAAGATGACGTTCCCAGATTCTCTTAGATTCAGTGGTGCCACAACAGAACCAAAACATGCATATAAGATATCATACCATTTATGCAACAATCTCTTAAATGTATTCCCCTCCACCTGAAAAGTTTGGATAAATCATACACTATGTACACATTCTCAAATGATTAATTCACACACAAATGTGCACACCCATGGTTATGGCAATATTCACAACAGCCAAAAGGGGGAAACAACCCAAATGTCCATCGATGGATGGGTGAGTAAGCACAATGGGGTCTACCCATGAGCGTGACTCGGCCATAAAAAGGAACAAAGCACTGACAGCTGCTAGCATGTGGACGGACCCTGAAAACATGATGCTCAGTGGGAGGAGCCAGACACAAAACATCACTTATGGTGTGATTCATTTACATGAAAGCCCAGAACAAGGAATTCTACAGAGACAGAAGCCAGATTAGTGGTTGCTCAGGGCAGGAGGGATGGAAGGATCGGGTAACAACAGCATAGGGTTTGGGGTTTCTTTTTGAGATGAAGGAAACGTTCTTTAACACTGACTGTGGGGATGGCCACACAACTCTGGAAACCTATTAAAAGCTGTTGGACTGCACACTTTCAATGGGGAGGCGTGTACGGTTTGTGATTTACAGGTCAATCATGTTATTTGAACAGTCGAAATAAATAAGCAAAATACCAACATCTTATTGATGATGGGTGAGTCGTCTACTCGTTTGCAGAGAAGAACAGATGCGGTATAGACCCAGGTGGATTTCGCATGCCCAGACACCCAGATTTGAAATGTAGCCAACAATTAAACACGATCGCCGTGCCTTTGTTTCTATTAATAGAAACGTATGGTGCCAAGTGACGGGAGTGTCTAATGGATGATACATATGAAAACGAACACTGACCTTCATGTTTCCGAGGCGTCTGGTTCTGTCAACAACAAGCAATTTCCTAATGAGGTCTCTATTTGCGGGAAAGAGACAAAAAGATGCATCTTGATACGGACCCAAGCAAACACAGCATGTCAACAGCAATAAAATCTGCCCATCACGTTATGTATCGGGAGAGAGGATCAATTTTCATTTTGCCTCAACATTTTCTCTCAATTGTTTCTTCACCGATATTCATTTCTAAATAATTTATGCAAAGCGGGGTTGGCTACACAGAGCGACAGAGCAAAGGGGAAAAGGTTCATTAAATCACTGTGCAGAAAACGAGCCTTTCAAGAGAACATGCGAAAAGATTACGTGCTTGCCCCAAGTATAGCGATATTTCACTTAAAATATACCCATGAGGCTGTCCTTGCCAAAGAGAAGACATCTGCTTTTACCAAAATGAATGGCCACGCTTTGCCCTAAGGGTCTACTTATTTATGGGATTCTGGCCGTATGCTGGTTGCTCTCCTATAACATACAAACTTCTGTGAGTCCCTTAAACCCTGCTGCTCCACTCATTCCTTCCTCCTAAATAGCAGGCTGTGTCAGAATACAGGCCCCTTAGGATTAGGCCAGGCCAATTAGGATCTGACAGTTAAGAGGAGTGTCAAGACATTCAGAAGACAGGCTAGTTCTAAGAGTAAAAGGTAAAGAAGTAAAAATTGTGTGTGTGTGTATGTCTTTGCACATAATAAAAAGAATACATTATGTATAGTAGTATCTAGAGACTTCAAATATAAATTGAAATCCCCCAGACCAATCAAAAGACCCATGGCCCAGCTTCAAGAAAGCCATGACACAACTTTACAAGACTAAGATGTACCTTATGCCCACCCCCAGACTCACACCACAGCGTGGGGTCTGTGACCAGCTGGGAAAGTTGAGATCCCAAGGCCCGTGGCGATGTATGTGAAGGTCCAGGGTCCCAAGATCCCCGGTGCCTTATGTCTAGACTGTGAATCACCAAACACCACACTCCTCAAACAATCCCAAATAAATGTGTTTTTTTTTTCCTTCTCTTTCCCTACTATTTACAGCCCTGTCAGCCCTGTTAGTGCATATACTTAGAGCTGTCTATACTGGGGTTCTAAATCAATGACATTTTATTTAAAATATAAACTCAAACTCTTACAAAACACAAGCCCCAAAAGCAAAGGGTACGGATGTAAAGGGACCATCCGGTATGGCAAAGCCGTGTAGGATCTCTGGACGTGTCTGAACTCTGGATGGGCCTGAAATCCTAGGACGGGCTCTGCAGCTGTGGGCAATTCCTTTATTCACAGCACGCGAAATTCTAGATCTTACTCACTATCCTGCCTGGCTTCTCTCTGACCACTGAGACAGGAAGAAACCCTGATTAGGTATTTGGTCTACCAAGTTGGCAACAAGCCCCAAAGCGCTGATGTCCTTTCAGCTGTCTAAGCTCCTGTAAGGAATCTCAGTGTCAATCCAAAGACACAAGTGCTCAGGCAGGAAGGTGACACAGCCAAATGCCGAGGTTGTAAGAACCAACAACAGAAGACCTTGAGAACCTGAAAGTCAAAATTCCACCACCAGACGGCACCCGAGGGCAGTGATGTGGATATGCAAGCCTCATGAGGGTCCTGCTTCTCAGCCAACTCAGGAAGATCTAGGCAACACTGGAAAGAAGTGAGGTTCTTCTCAACCACCATCTGCCGTCAGCAACCGCATCCAAAGATCCCAGGTTCCTGCTCTGGCTGAGCCCTCACGTTGGGAATACGGGGGTCCCAGGGTAAGAGAGAAGAGGAGCCTGGGGCTGCTAAAATGAGGAACATTCTAGACCAAAGGATAGGAGCGCTGACACTGCTGGTTCTCTCTTCAGAACTGACTACAAGGAAAAAAGGCGGAGGTAGCAAGACACCAGACATAGATTAAACTTACGTTTGTTGTATTCCATTCTTTTCCATGGAACGGTGTAAACTTACTCAATATTTCATATGACTGACAAGAGCCCTTGCCACCAATGATGGAAGAAATGATCTCCGAATTTATGCATCGTCCCTTCTCTGGGGAAACGTCTCTAGGAAGAGCTGAAGTCATTCCTTGCAAGAGGAAGTGAATACATTCTCTGAGGTTTTGCCTAGCCTAAGACCTTCAGGGGGTCTCCACAAGGGGCTGATTTTGAGAATGCAAGAGACAGTCCATGCTCATTTTACCGAGACCAAGCACACCCAACAGCAACAGCTAAGCCACATATACCTCAGGCTGGATTCCACCAGTGTGCATCCAGAGCAAGGCAGCAGATGTTCACACCCCCTAGATTTACCCAGAATGTCAATGGTCTAAAGTCAGCCATTGGCCAAGCTGCCAATGGGTGTGAGTAGATTTTAATCCAAGTAAACCACTGGTAAACTGTTGGCATATACACAGGTAAATTTTTTTAAAAGTCCATGTGACAAAATGTCACTCAAGTCCAATGGGATCTGGACCCTGGAGGAGAAATTCTATATAATAGTTTTCATTTCTTTCTAGGGTAAATAAACTTTTGACTGCTCGATCTCCCTCTGCACCTCCCTGTCTTACCATTCACGGGACAGAGTACCCACCTTCTGGGTGATTATTTTTAATGGAACTTAGTTTTTTTGCTAGTCTTCTAAACTTGTCTGGTGTGTCGAACACACCACCTCTGGCCCAACCAGCCCAGAGAAACACTGTCTTCTACTTGGACGGAGAGCCTCTGGGGGGAGTGAGATGACCTTCACCAGTCGGAAAAGCAACTGGATGCAGCCAGCAGTCCCAGCAGCTGACCCAGTGTCATGAAACCAGTTTTCTCTGAACTCGCTGCCCATGGGCTACTTTAAAAAAATAGCAAAGAGAGAGAAAAGTTTAATTCTTGACTAAATGCAGTTAACCACCTTGTGATCAGCAGGGCTTGGTGCACGCAGCACCTCACCTGGGAAATGCAGGGAAAGAACAAGGAATCATGGTATAAAAATGTCTATAAGGTGACCAGACAGACAAAGGTAACTGGACTGCCAAAAGCATTCTGAGATTTTTAAAAACTTTTCTCCCCACTGTTACCACAAATTTAATGAACTGCATACCCAAAGTTACTAACACTGAAGCCGGAGAAAAGTTCTCATAGCAGGTGTTCATCAGCCTCAATTTTAGCATGAAAAAGGAATTTAAGAATGAAAATAATTTAAGCAGGAGGAAAAAGAGACAGCCTGCTAAAGCCATCAACATGCCCACCAACTGCAAAACCAGCTAAAGGAGGTAGGGGGTTGGGAGGGACCCTTTTCGTCAAATACCCAAACGGCTCTCTTACTCAGTGTGATTCACAAGTGCCTTTACTGGCTAACTGTAAATGTCATTTCTCTCGAGACGCATAAAATCTGGCCAAGAGTCATGAAAAGGCTAAGTCTCATTACAGTAGAATAACGACCACCTTCTCCCATCTTGTGGAAAAGCTGACCGACCAGAAGACGTGAAACACAGAGCAGGAAGAACGGCAGTAAGCTGCCTGCTCTGTGATTTCTTGTCTGTGATTTTAAAAATAAACACCCCCGACGATCAGGGAAACGGTTTACTTACTTTACACTGAAATCCAAATGTCTGGGGAAATCTATTTTGCCTGCAAGGATTTTTTGATAAATGCCAAATGGGTTGTCATCAAAAAACGGAGGAAACCTGTAAGAAAAATAAACATCTATTTTTAGCAGAGAGCAAGCACGGAAAAAAATCCCTGCTTTGTAGTGAGTACACTGTTTCTGCTCGATGCAAGCAGGACATTCAAAATGTCACCTCCCTTTCAGACCATGAGCGAAGTTCTCTGTATTCTTCACATTTACGGCACTGTGTGGCACATAGTAGGTGTTTGATAAATGTGAGCTAGGCACATGCAAGAGGATGGGTAACACTGTGTCCTGTTTTTCTTTCTTTTTTTTTTTTTTTGGTTCGAGTAGACTATACCTCTATAAGCAGCCAGTATTTGAATCTCCATAGTAGATGAATTCACATAGGTCACACTTAGGGATGTGGGTGAGAGCAAGGCTGGTTCCTAGCTTGTACCTTTAGGCCACAAAGATCTAGCACGTTACAGCCAGCAGCCCATTTTTATAAATAAAGTTTTATTGGCAACGTGGCCATCCTCACTTACTTATGTATTATTGTCTATGGCATAGTTATCAGAAGTAAAGATTGTAGTCCTAGCAGAGAAACCAACAGATGTGTCTTCTCTAATACCCTGAAATAGAAAAAAAAAAAAAAATCTGAAATAAGCTAAATAGGAAATACATTTAAAACTGCAAAGAGCTAGAAAAATCAAAGAAAATAGAAAAGTTAAATAAATATATGCCAGATACCTCCTATATGCCCCGAGGCACAAGTTGTAATTTTGGTATTTACTCGCAGTGCTGAAGGCAAAGACCCTGAACTCAAAAGGATACCGCTAATTGGATCCTTTGGAAATGGGACTTCTAAATTGGACAGCCACGTGCAGAAGAATGAAACTGGACCATTTCCTTACACCACACACAAAAACAGACTCCCAATGGTTGAAAGACCTAAACGTGAGACAGAAGTCCATCAAAATCCTAAAGGAGAACACAGGCAGCAACCCCTTCGACCTCAGCCGCAGCAACTTCTTCCTAGAAACATCGCCAAAGGCACGGGAAGCCAGGGCAAAAATGAACTATTGGGATTTCATCAAGATAAAAAGCTTTTGCACAGCAAAAGAAACAGTCCACAAAACCAAAAGACAACCGACAGAATGGGAGAAAATATTTGCAAATGACATAGCAGATAAAGGGCTAGTATGCCAGATCTATAAAGAACTTATCAAACCCAACACCCAAAGAACAAATAATCCAATCAAGAAATGGGCAGAAGACATGAACAGACATTTTTCCAAAGAAGACATCCAAATGGCAACAGACACATGAAAAAGTGCTCAACATCGCTCGGCATCAGGGAAATCCAAATCAAAACCTCCATGAGATACCACCTCACACCCGTCAGAATGGCTAGAATTAACAAGTCAGGAAACGACAGATGTTGGCGGGGATGCGGAGAAAGGGGAACCCTCCTACACTGTTGGTGGGAATTCAAGCTGGTGCAACCCCTCTGGAAAACAGTATGGAGGTTCCTCAAACAGTTGAAAATAGAGCTACTATACGACCCAGCAATTGCACTACTGGGTATTTACCCCAAAGATACAAATGTAGGGATCCGAAGGGGTACGTGCACCCCAATGTTTATAGCAGCAATGTCCACAATAGCCAAACTGTGGAAAGAGCCCAGATGTCCATCGACAGATGAATGGATAAAGAAGATGTGGTATATATACACAATGGAATATTATGCAGCCATCAAAAGGAATGAGATCTTGCCATTTGCAACGACGTGGATGGAACTGGAGGGTGTTATGCTGAGTGAAATAAGTCAATCAGAGAAAGACATGTATCATATGACCTCACTGATATGAGGAATTCTTAATCTCAGGAAACAAACTGAGGGTTGCTGGAGTGGTGGGGGGTGGGAGGGATGGGGTGGCTGGGTGATAGACATTGGGGAGGGTATGTGCTATGGTGAGCGCTGTGAACTGTGCAAGACTGTTGAATCACAGATCTGTACTTCTGAAACAAATAATGCAACATATGTTAAGAAAAAAGAAAAAGAAGAAGATAGCAGGAGGGGAAGGAAGAATGAAGGGGAGTAAGTCGGAGGGGGAGACGAACCACGAGAGAGGATGGACTCTGAAAAACAAACTGAGGGTTCTAGAGGCGAGGGGGTAGGGGGATGGGTTAGCCTGGTGATGGGTATTGAGGAGGGCACGTTCTGCATGGAGCACTGGGTGTTATGCACAAACAATGAATCATGGAACACTACATCAAAAACTAATGATGTAATGTATGGTGATTAACATAACAATAAAAAAATTTAAAAAAAGAAATAGGACTTCTAATTCACTAAAATAAGCACTGGAAATATCTTAGAAAATGAAGTTTTCATGGGGTGGCTCAGTCAGTTGTGTCCGACTCTTGATTTCAGCTCAGGTCATGACCTCAGGGTCATAAGATCGAGCCGCGCATTGGGCTCCATGCTCGGCGCAGAGTCTGCTTGAGATTCTCTCTCTGCCTCTCCCTTTGGCCCCACCCTCCACTTGTGATCTTTCTCCCTACATACATAAATAAATAAAATCTTAAAAAAAAAAATGGAGTTTTCAAATGATATCCTGATGGAAGATGGCAACTTTCGATAGGCAAAAAAACTTCCTGTTGATTTCAAATCAATTTCTGACGTTTAAAAAAATAAACGAATAAAAAACCAGAATACACTGAGTGCAATGGTGTTCTCCAAAAAGATATATCCATGTTCTTACCCTGACAATCTGTGAATGGGAGCTTATTTGGAGAAAGAGTCTTTGCATATGGGATTAAGTGAAAGATGCTGACATGATCTAATCCTGGATCAGGGTGACCCTAAATCCAACAACAGGTGTTCTGATAAGAGACAGAAGAGGAGACATAGACCCAGAGGAGAAGCCACATGAAGACGGAGGCAGAGATGGGAGGGACACAGCCACAAGCCCAGGGATGCCTGGAGCCCAGAAGCTGGAAGAGGCAGGGAGAACCCTCCCTTGCCCCGCCTGGATCTCCGCAGCCCTGCCCAGCCTGGATCTCCACTTCTGGCCTCCAGGCCTGAGAGAAAATGGAATGTAAGCCACCATGTTTTTAGCCATTTGTCCTGACAGCTACTAATATACAGAACAGACACATTTAACTCTGCACATACATTATAGAGAAGTGAAAAGCTGAAAAACTAAAGAATAGAATATAAAATACAAAAGAAAAGGAAATTAATGGGAAAGTTGAGGGAGAAGAGGTAGGCGAACAAGGAAAATGGAAGACACTCAGTAAACGTGAAAGTGTAGCCATGTGTGATAAAGGCATAAAACAGCTTTTATTCTTACGTGACATTTCAGATACACTTTGGAGTGAGCGGAGACTCAATGCTCAGAAGGCCACAGCGGAATCTCTTGAGCCACTGGTTATTCGGGTTTCATAACTACAAGTACTTTGGCCACTGTTACTTCTAGAGTTACGAGCTACCACTGTTCAGGGCAGGCCCGGGAGGAAAGGTCTATATGCACACAGACACTCAACGGGTCCGCGCCAGCCGACTACGCCTTCAAGTTAATAGCTCCCAAGTCAACCGTTTCTGGTCGGCCAGATGCTTTGTCTAACAATGGCTGGGGAGGTCTCCTTTCTTGGGTGGCGGCCCCATCTGAGGACAACTGGCTGTATGATTTCATCGGGGGAAATGCGCACGTTCACGAACAGCACGTTAAACACCAGGAGAAAATGTGTCATACATACCTAACAACATTTATGGACAATAATTATTAAATAAAGTGTTCTCAGGAAGCAGGCATTATATGACTGTATCATGGGGAAGGTATGTTAGTAGTAGTTTAACGAGCGGAAAAAAATGATAATAAATGAGCAGTACCAGATCTTGCCCGAAGGAAGAAGCAGAGAGAACGGGAATCTGAGAACGAGCCCTGCCCTCGCATGTGGAAAGTACCCTAAGAAATCTTCAAATCTCTCTTTAATCCAACAGAATAGTTACAGTTCCTAAAGAAGCACTGAGAGCTCGTTATGTAAGTGAGCTAAAGGTATCAAGGGACCCAGTGGCGCTCCAAAGGAAGACCCGCTCGTGGGCATGGAGGAAGCTCAAGAGCTTCCTCTCCCAAGTTCACGCCAACTTTGCTACTGTTTCCATCATCTCGCCATGATGACTTGGACATATCCGTTCTCCCCACCTACACCTACCAGGAGAACGGACTGTCCAGAAACAGGCACCATTGTGGTGGTAACGTCATGCTCCTGATCACCCTCTTGCACAACCATAGGAGGGGCTGGCCTTGGAAGGCGGGCACTTTGGACATGGGTTCAAGGAAAAGAAGGAAGAGTTTTTGTAAAGAAAACAGAACGGGGAGGTGCTATCAGGTCACCGTTTTTGACGTCTTCCTCAAAGACCCCCTCCCCTGGTTACGTGCGTAGAAAACATAAAGCCTGTATTCTTCTGAGAAAGTGGCAAGGACAAAGGGACGGGCTGTGCAACAGGAGGAGGGCAGAGTGTAGAGTAGGAAAGAGTGCCAGGGACACCCTGTCTGAAGTGTGATGGCCATGATTCTCAATGTGGGCTCCCACGGAACCCTAGGTTTCCGTAAGTCTCATCGGGGAGCTTTGGGAAGGTGCGCTTCCCCTCCCCCGACCCCGACCGCAGATCTGAACATGGATGCCGCGGGACATCTCCAGCTGCTACCAGGGAAACACGGGCAGGAGAGGAAGCAGCTGCAGGGGACAATGAGGAAATTCAGAAGTGGTCCAGGGGAAGGCTCAAGTCTGGCAGAACTGCAGAGGGAGCCCAGGAATGTGCAGGAGGGATCGGTGAGGCTTGTGGCAACAACATGGACTCGTGTCTCTCAAGATATCCCTCCAGAAAGCCTGGACCCCCTCCAACTACAAATGTGTAAATGAAAACACATTACAATGAACACATAGGTCTTGCCTCGTATGAAATGCAAAGGTCAACTCGGAGTGTTTTGGTTGGGAGTGGGTTTTAATGATTCATCATCAATTATTCTAATAAGAGCCTCATAACATATTAGATCCTCTTTCATTATTTTCTATACTACTCCTAATATTCTAGTATATTATAGTGGAAATACATTATTGCTAATATTCTATGAGAATATTCAAAACACTGTATTTTCTAATGTCCTAAAACAGCATATTCTAATATTTGAATGGATTATATCCTAATAATATTCTAATCATTCTAATAGTTATTTTTAACATAATAATCCTGATATATTCACTCTAATACGTACTAATATATTCTAATTTTATTCAAGTTTATTCTAATTCCAATAATTTTCTTATATTCCACCAATATTATTTTCCAAACTTGTATCTATTAATAATATCTCATAGTACCATATTCTATATATAGAATATGTCCTCCTAGAACATACTGTAGTAATACAGAGAAAACAGAGCTTGTGAACCTCATCTATTAAGCCCTGGCCGCCAGGGTTCATTTCTCGTTAAACAATGCTGACCTCTAGTGGTCAGTAATGTTAAGGAACGGAAATGTGCAGCAGGGCATCTGAGGGGAATCGGACGAATATGGGCACATAAATATTCACAACTGTGGTATCTTCTCAATGGATGGGACCTATGCGTGATTCATGTTAATCTTCTGCTCTGCTTGGGACTTCATGGGCTGGGGTGTCTATTAAGAAATTCGGTTCTGTTTGATTTGCCAGACCCGTCTGGGTGAAGAGTAATGGAAAAATACAAGAGACCAGATAGATGATGGATTGATGGATGGATGGATGGATGGATGGATGGATGGATGGATGAAGAGATACATAGGCAGACAGGTAAAGAGAATAGATAGATGATAGATAGATGGGTGGGCTGGTGGATAAAGTGATGGATGGATGGATATATAGATACATAGATACAGGGATGGACTGATGGATGGATGGATGGATGGATAGATCGAGAGGTATGATGCATGGATGGATGATGGATAGATGGATAGACCAGGAGATAGGATGATAGATAGATAGATATAGGGATGCATGAATGGATGGATGGAGAGATTGAGAGATATGATGGATGGATGGATGGATGGATGGATGGATGGATGGATGGACAGATGGATGGACGGATGGATGGATGAATGGATGGA